TTATCAAATTTTGCTGAAGAGTTGGTAATGAATAACAACCGTCCATCCGTATGATTAGTTTGCTTAGCTTAACCAATACTTATGAATCTACACGGCATTTCACCCTATAGTTTTCCTGTTCTAAATCAGCCATCTTAAGTCCGAATGACAATCCATAGTCCGAACTACAAAAGATGGAAAATCGCAAAAATATCACTTCTCTTAATAACACACAAGGTGTCGAGCAGGTTCTTTTTTTGACAGCAAGACACACTACAAAACAATAAAGTATGAGTAAAAACTTGTTTGTTTGTTTGTTTTGAATTTCACGCAAAAAGCTACACGACGGCAATCTGCGCTAGCCGTCCCTAATTTAGCAATGTAAAACTAAAGGGAAGGCAACTAGTCATCACCACCCACCGCCAACTCTTGGGCTACTCTTTTACCAACGAATTGACCTCCACATTATAACGCCCCCATGCCGGGCCAAGAGTAAAAAAAAGGGGAAATTGAACCCTTCATAATAACAAGTGAAATAAAATCATTTTAAAAATATACCTGTAATATAACCCTTTTAAAATGATATATAACATGGCCGGCATGGCCAGGTGGATAAGGCGCTCGACTCGCAATCTGAGGGTCTCGGGTTCGAATCCCCGTCCCACCAAACATGCTCGCCCTTTCAGCCGTGGGGGCGTTATAATGTGATGGTCAATCCCACTATTCGTTGGTAAAAGAGTAACCCAAGAGTTGGTGGTGATGACTAGCTGCCTTCCCTCTAGTCTTACACTGCTAAATTAGGGACGGCTAGCGCAGATAGCCCTCGTGTAGCTTTGCGCGAAATTCAAAAACAAACATATAACATAAAATCAGTTATATCGACATATAAAAGTCTTTAAAACACAGATGAAACAAAAACCTTTATAAAATAAAATATAAAGTTAAACAAGCTGTTAGACGGAATATGTGAAACAGCTCCTTCTTCAATGATAAATAATGAACTAATCAAAACATATTTGTTTTGTTTTTTGGACTTGGTTCAAATCTACATGAGGGAAACTATTTGTGCTAGTCCTTCCTAATTTTGAAGTGATAGACTAGAGGGAAAGTAGCTGGTCAACATCACCTACCGCCACCTATTGGTCGATTTTTGTCAGACCTAACAGTGGGATTTGATCATCGTTATTATAATGCATCTACAGCGCCAAAGTGCGGAGCGCGATTTTAATGGCGATAGTAACGGGATACGAGCCACGGAACCTCAGCTCTACAGTTTGGCACGTTAACCACCGTACCGCGTTCTGATCAACAATACACACATATATATCACATAATTATGAAACATGTTTAAATACAAAAGAAATAGAAAATTATAAACATCCAAAAAAAACACCAAAGTAAACAAAACAACAACAAAGAAACATGAAAACTTACACAATGAAACATAATGTGGAAGAAAGAAATATATTTATCTATATACAGCAGCTTGACAGGTCTACTTTATTATGTTCAGTAGTTCGTTCAGGGCTGTTGTTGATCGACATCCTTCTGGTGACAGCTCGACGATTTGGTCAGTTTGAGTTTGACCTTTACCAGTTCAAGGTCTTCTTATCTTATTGGCAGTCCTGTGTTCTTTTCTTTTCCTTACACACTTTGTAATTCTTATCTTGGTATGTACAAGATTAGGCAGTGTTTCATTGCCTGTGCCTGGCCTAAGCTGTTATTTCTCCATCTCATCACTTCACTTGAGCCAATACTCCTCTGGAATATTGGTTGGAAACTCCATCGATAACTCCTGAGCCTCTACATAATCCTTTAGAGACGAGGAGGCGTCTGAAATTGAAGGGGTCGTGGAGGTTCAGTGCATAAATTGACAGTCGTTTCCATAAATGAATCATTGTTTGTTTGTGGTTCTTACATTCAAAAGTTTGGCAAAGACATTTTTATACATTTAGGTCACACAGAGGGGCACCCGTATTTCATTTTTTATCATGGTTCTATTCATGATATTTTTGACAGGAGATCTGCATTCTAAAAAATGTTTGGTGGTTCCAAGGGTTCCTGCTTCACTCTCGGTTTCTTCTTGTTCAGTTCTGCATTCAGTAACTCCATCGACTTCCTTGATCATCAAAGAACAAAGTAGTCAGTGTTTTCACCACCTTTGCACTCCAGTGGACCCAGGTATATGAGTATGAATTTAACTGCTGTTCGACTCCTCCAGGAGCTCCTCTTAAGCCCCATTTTCTACTGGAGTGATGACACAGAACAAGGAGATTGGCAGTGATCTGTACATCTCCAAAACCCACGATCAAGATAATCCCTGGCTCCACATACATGATAATCAGAGGCATGCAGATGATGTCCTCTAATTCAGTGACAGGTGCCACATTCACGACAAGGATTGCTTCCATGTTTATTTGTGGTTCACTAACAAGTTCATCACACAAAAGAGAGTTGAAGTAAATTATTCACTCTTTATAACTGATGATTTTAACTATTGCTCTGTAACAACTCAAAAGTTAGAGAAAGTAATATTGTCAAGCTGGTCAACCTATCCAGACACAGGTCAAAAGTTCAATTCCTCGCGGTGAATAGTGTAAAGAGTCCATTGTGTCACCTTGTGCTACAAACAAAGAAACAAAAATCCATTAGTGTACGCCAACTCGGGTGGAATGGCATGAAGCAAAAATGGTGTGTAACTGCAATGACAGGTGAGTTAAGAAATGTAAAAGAAGATTGTTAACTTAAATTTAGCTACAGATGGCTTTTTAAATAAACAAATTCTATACGTTCGCAGTAGAAAGAAAAGAAAAATATGGTATATGGTGCAATTTTATACAAAAACTAACAATATTCGTCATTATTCCAAGTGTGATTTGAGCTCAAAGTTTACCTACAAAAGTGTTTTCAAGATAAATCAGGTTCAAAAACAGCTGAGAAAACAGCATTGTAGCTACTCAGATGTTTTTTTTATTCATGTGGAAGCTTATTATTTGTTGACATCTGTTCAAAAACATCGTGTTTCTACGTAAGTAGCTCTGTGATGATCCTCTTGTTTGTAAATGAAGAGAATGGTTCACTCAGTAGGTTTATTCATTAGTGTATCTAAAACAATAATATATTTATCTACTGAAAGAAATATACGAAAATTAACAGTTAAAAAGAATCAAGAGCACATTGTTTGTATATTCAAAGTAATGTTTTACTGAAAGTTATTTTACATTTTTTTGGTTGTAAATTCGCTAGAATAGGCTCAACGATTTATTAAATGTTAGTAGAGGTCGTTTTTAATGTTGGTGTTCTGTTGTGGTGCTGTTGATTGTGTAACGTCATACGGTATTGTTACGTCTCCGTTTGTTAATTGATTTTTCCGTAACTTCGTTCCAACGAAACTTTAACGACACAAGTCTTTACTTAATAAAACAGGTTTATTCTTTCCGAATATAACTCTGCGATACACTTAATCTCAATACTCGCGCTAAAACAACACTAATCAACGAACGTCAACAATACTTCTGACTGCAGTTCAATTACTCACTATCTATCTACCCACCTCACATTCCCCTCCTTTATATATACCAGCCCACCCTACATCGAGCAATTACTAGAGCATTCCCGAAAGAACAAGATAGTTCTAGAAACTAGAGGGCGCCACAGTGGTCACGTGACTCGCTGACGCAACAGTATTCTTATTCTGTTTTACTGTAAGAATGAGTTGTTTTCCAGTTAAAATGTGAATTAAGGTGTTACGTTGATTTTATGCTTTATTTGTTGTTTTAAAGGTGTATAAACCTGGGTTTTTGCTTTTGAACTGAATACGCTGTGTAGTGATTTTCGTCTCTCATTAAATCATATTGTGTAATTAACTGGCCACGTACAGAATTGTTTTTTTTTTTTTGCAAAGAAGGTTACATCAATATATAGTTTAAGCAGCTTTTTTGACAGTAAAGACGGTAAAAATTTATAAAACAACAACTAAGGAAGAAATTCGTTTTCTTCCCAAAGAAAACCTGTAGTTCGTATTTTTTTCAAAAACAAATGACAAAGTTCTGTAAAATACTGAATGTTATTCAAGGTTACTAGGACTTCATCACGCCCCCCCTTCCAGTGGCACAGCGGTATGTTTGCGAACTCACACCGCTATAAACTGGGTTTCGATACCCTAGAGTATAGATAGCCCATCGTGTAGCTTAGTTCTTAATTCCAAACAATCAATCAAACTTCATCACGAGTGACTCACTATAATGAAAAACACTAATCTGATAACCATATATCAATAGATAAATAAACGTTCAAATTCCTAATCAGGATGTATTTTTCTTTGAGGGTGGTGATGATTATTTGTTTCATTGTTGTTACAACAACAAAAAACCACTATTTGTGGTATGCCTACTGCAAGGGTCGAACTCCTAACTTTAGTGTTATAAGCCTCCAACCTTACTGCTAGGCAACCAGACGGATTTTAGATATGGAAAACAGAGTTTTAATTACTTCAGAAATATACGAACTTTTAAGTATTTAATGGGGACCACTCAGTCATGTATGTTTTCAAAATTTCAGGGGAACTTTGTTTTTTCACGCATTCTGCAGCTGTGGAAACATACCTTATGCCCATAGTTACAAGCACTTGTAACAAAGATCAATAATGTCAGACTGAGGTACTTACGTGCAACGTGCATATTTTCACTCAGAAATGCCACATTGTGCACGTTATCACGCGGAGAAATATTAGGTTAGCAATTTTAATTTCCTGATAATTAAAAAAGGGGGCTGGTGTATCGATATTACTGATCTACTATTTAAGAGTGTGAAGTATATATTTTGAAAAAACACAAAAAATCCAGAGAGATAACAGAAATGAAACGTATACTTTTTTGTCTTTTCGTAAGTTGTTTCTTAACACTTGTTTATTTGCACTTCAAAACGATTGATTTGGTACAGACTCGGAAAGTGCAAGGAACGGCGAAAATACGTAAGTAAATACGTTTCATAATTATCCATTCTTTTAAATAGTTATCTTTGACTTATCGGAAAGTGTTACGTTCAAATATAGTCTATACATTCGGGATCAACAATTGTGTATTCAGTTCCCAAAAAAACGAAAACTTAGATGAACTGTTGCTTTATTGCACAGATAGGTAAACACTAGCTAGAATTAAGTCCTATGTGCTTATTGATCAAGTTAAAAATGAAGATAATAAGAGCCAAATAACACACATCGTTAAAATCGATACACAATTAAAAACATTTTTAAAATGTGGACATGTTTCGACGTTTACCACGTCATCATCGATTTTAAAGTTTATTCATTATTTTAACATTATACACAAGTACCAAGAAAACAATATCAATACTCCTTTTGAAAAGTGAAATTGCTATTTTTCTTATCCACACTTGTTTGAAAATATTACCGGGAGAATTTTTAAAAACTAACACAGAAAATTAGGCTTCAATTTAAATTTACACCACCAATTTCCCCAAACATTTTACACCACCAATTTCCCCAAACATAAGGATAATGATATTTGGCTATAGTTAGGGTGCTTAAATTATTCGAGACATTGTAACCTATTGTGTTTAAAAATATCACTGCCGTCAAATGTAACTACATGCATGTAGTTTTGCTCGCCTGTTTTTAAATATAGGATCTTGTGTTTTAACATGATTACGGGTAATATTTTTTGCGTACTTTACATGTGACCGCATAATCAGTATTTGATTGCATAGTAAAAGTATGAATTTCTAGAATTAGCAAAATCGAATCTGAATCAGTGTTACCAGATATATATAACTTTTGATTTAGTTATGACTCCGTTTTTTTCTTGTTGTTTGCTGAGTGGCGTCTGCTGACCAGACAGTCAATATTTAAATATGTTTTAAGTCGCATTGTTGGTGAAATTTAATTAGTTATGTCTAGCATCCTCTCAAATTTTATTATTATAAACTATTTTTACGTTAGACAAGGATTGGATAATTTAAAATTTTGTCGTAGAAACAATACACAATCTTTATTTTCTTTAGATAATCACTGCATAATCAACAATTTTATGATGCATGATTTCAAATTGTTGGCCACATAATTTTATTTTTTGCCGCATTGTTGTTGTTGTTTTTTGGCTTAAGGTACAGGAACTATCCTTGTATGAATCATTTGTCACCCCCTCTTTTATGTAACCAGCTGGCCGGACGTGGCCGAAATTTTAGAATGTCGAACTGTGTATCCGAGAGTTTCTGGTTAGCGCCCTATCGCCGCAAAACGCACTTGAGGGCCCTGGGTGTGCTATAAGATTGACGGTCAAATCCCATTAATAGGTCAGAAAAGAGTATCCCAGAAGTTGCATTTTCTTTAGTCTACCAGTTCAGCGAAATTCTAAAGAAACAATTTAACGAACTACTATCGTCAGTAATGCATAGGTATACATAGAAACGCGGAAATCAATATCAATAGAAAATATAAGTAACTTCATAATAATAAAATGCGTGGTCTTATGGATAGGGTGTCAGATTGTGAATCTGAGGGTTCATGGCTCGTGTCTAGCTGCCGCAAAATCGTTCTCCTTACTTTCGGGCCATGGGTACGTTATAAAGGTGCTTTCAGATCCTATTAATTGATTAGAATCGCCCAAGGGGCGGTGGACGTTGTTGACTATCTGCTTCCCCTACAGTCTATAAGTTCAAACTTAAAAACGACCAGTGCAGGGAGCTGTTGTATAGCCTTGCACGTATATCCGAAACAAATAAATAACAAACTACTTAAACTTTAATATTTTGTGTTTGTAACGAAAATAAAGTCAACCCTCTTTCTCTATTTGTGTCTAATTGCCTAAAGTCGGCATGATGTTGATTATTTAACATTATATAAAACGGTAATTGGACAAGTAGACACCTAACAAAATGAGGAAGTAAGCCATTTAGACACCTAATAATTGTCTACTTACTATGTAAGTCATATAATGGAGTAAATTAAACTGGTAATATAATAAACCTAGATCTATGTAGAGGAAATAATGGAGTAGATTTAAAATTTTAATAAAATAGACCTAGATCTATACAGTTTATATAATGTTTTAAAGTAAACTGGTAATATAGTAGGCCTAGATATATACAGGTCACATAATGGAGAACATTTCTGTAATTATTCTTTTATTTTATAATAAACAAGTGGTGTTTAAATATCCTCCTTCGTAATACTTTTAGGCGTCTAGTTCTCCTGGGTTCATATAAAACATGTAACAAATATGTCATTAAATTGCACTGTTGAGGTAATATAAGAGAAAGTTAAATTTTAAATCGTAATCGAGAGCGTTGTGTATATTAAGAAATACGACATACATTTCTGTTTGTACTGTTACGTATCTGCTTGTTTGTTTGTTCTTTCCGAGGATCTTCAGCGATACAAGTCCTTTCTTGATTAAACCAGTTTATTCTTCCTCGATACAAACTTTTAGTATACAGAAGTTCCACGATCAGTACATTTCTCGTCACTTTAAACTTAACAACTTTTACAATACACGCTATATATCACAGCGATTCACAATCTCGATAATTTCGCTCTCGACGAGTGCAAAACACACACTTTACGGCTCACTAGCTCGAAACTAACAGAATCATAAATTAAACGGAGCCAAAGTAACTACTGCTCTCTGTTCATTCATTTCCGCTGGCTTTCTCTGCCAGGCTTATATCCTAACGAAAAGGGCATCTGGAGCACACTCGGATTTCCCCGATTATTCGAGAAACTCATCATGCACGCCACCAGAATCACGTGACTTCAGCTGTCGTAACAGTACTCTTTATTAATCTCGGTTTCTCTATGCTCGCTAAATCTACATTATTTCTAGGAAGAGAAAGTTCTTTACTCGTACTTGTATATTCCAAGAAACAGAAATGAAAACAACTAGTGTCATGCGGAAATCTAAACTACTATAGAAAATATGAATAACTTACTGCACACAAACTAAACAACTTTGAATATCGGCTGCTTTAGATGAAAATAAAATCAAATTTGTTTTTTCTTTTTGCATATTTTATTAAGCAGATTAACAGGTCCATGTATAGAGTCTGTCTGCAATGAAAACATAGACCCTACCAAAAGCAATGTCTGAAAACTCAAAATCACTAGAAAATATACATATAAAACATAAACCACCAGTAAAATTAACACACGTGCACTTCACGCGACACGCAAACTCTTGGTTATAGGACTTTTCTGACAGCTGAACTAGCTCCATAAGTTACACTTTTGAAGTAATTTCACAATGAGTAATAGAAACGCATACTGAAATTTGTCATCTTATACGTATGCACAAACATTGTGAAGTTACCTTTCACCAAGCCGTGGTAAGAGAATTATTTATAGAACTCAATTCGATCGAGTAATGGCATTGTTACCAGTTTTCAAACTGGTGACGCCCTCTCAAGGATAACGCGGAATATATGATGGAGGGGAGGGACATAAAAAGGTTCACGATAAAACTTTAGTAACTCACATAAAATTTACATTACTTCGGTACATTACAATTTTCAATATTTGGTAATAGTAGTATATTCCATTATTATTATTTTTTTTACTGGTATATGTGCGTGTTCCTGTATGGCTGGGAACGTCAAATATCACATATAAGAATAAAGGTAGGCTCTGTGTATATATATTGTTACGACAGCACTCGACGCTGGAAGAATGGTCGCTGGAGTTTCTAGAAGGATCATGTCTCTTCCTGGCAACTCTAGTTTTTTCTACGCGCCCTCTATTTTAGTATATAAGCAGGTAAATAAAGGGAGATAATTAATTGAATTGCAGACAGGCAGAGATAGAGACGGACAATTGAGTCAAGCGCGGTAGTGACCGTAAGTAAAGTGCATGAATCGTTGTGAATTATAGCGTATGTTGAAGTTAAAGTGACTGTAAAAATTAACTGTATTGCAAAGTTGTATTGAAAAAGAATAAACTAGTTTTATTTAAGAAATGACTTCTATCGCTGAAGTTCTACGGAAAATTAACAAACGAACACAGAGACGTAACAATATCATGCATTAAACGCCATCGTAAGCGTGACGAGCGACTTGATTTTTCTTTAGTGTTTTGAATTGACTTTCGATTTAACTTTTACATTGTTATGAAATACTTCACAATTTGAATAGGGAAACGAGACATACTGCTCTTTATTACCGCTAGGATTATTTAACAAAAATTCGAAGAGAGTTTAAAGCAACAATAACGAAGTTTGTCTGACATTTACATTAATGCAAGTTTGTTTTTTTTAAATCTGAAACTCAAGGATCGTTTTCACGTTCAGGAATTAAGTAATCTACAACGCTTTCACTTGCATTTTTTACACAATAATAGTGTAATTTTGAACGAAAGCTTTCGTGAAATATTTTTTTCTCAATAAAGAAGTCTCATAAAGAAGATATATGTGAACCCTACTGTACAATACTTAAAAAAAACATGATAACACTTTTCTTAATTATGGTGGATAAAATATGTTACCAGTGGCACAAAATTGATGTAACCTAAGATTTTTATTTAATCGCTATCCAGCGAGTAACTTCTTTTCGTTTCTTTGTTCAAATAATGATTTAGAATAACTTTATGGGTTGTAGTGAATTTTAAGGTAGTTTTGTGCTGAAGGATGTTTTTTTTTTCCGATAGGAAACTCCAAAGAAGGTCGTTCGCCAAAAACGGTACATGCACTTATCGTCACTTATGCTCGAAGTGGTTCGTCTTTTACGGGACTTCTACTGAAGAATCATCCGAACTCCTTCTACCACTTCGAACCTCTTTACCCCTACAGGTATGAGCTGAAGACAATGCGCGGAATTCCTGATCAAAGGTTCCTGTATGATTTGTTTAAGTGCAATTTTTCGGGAAGAGGCTCCTATCTTAGATCAGTTAAAAATCACCTAAAACAGAAATCCTATCATTACAACAAACAATATCTGAAAACATGTGCCAGACGAAGGAACATTAAACCATGTTTTAATCCATTTGTGATGAGTCGTTTCTGTAGAAACCAGACTTTACACATCATTAAGACGATTCGATTGTCATTACAAAATGGTGTGAAACTGTACGAAAACTACCCAGATCTTAACCTCAAAATAATTCATCTTGTCCGAGATCCTCGTGCCGTAATAAACTCACGTCAACGCGGTATAACGAAGAGATGGTGTAAAAAAAACACGAAATGCTCTTCTGTAAGTAGTTACTGCAGGGAAGTGCGTTATGACTTGAATTATTCTTGTTCTTTGAAAACAAGTGGAGATCGAGGGATCTATTTCCTTTTACGTTACGAAGACTTAATCGAAAACCCACTAAACATTACTAAATCACTATTTAAGTTTCTTGGTTTCAAATCGCTTTCTAAAAGCGTCGTTAAGTTTCTTAAACAAAATGTTCTACCGTTTTCAATATCTGGTAGAATCCAGCACACAAATTCAAGTTACTACGCATCACACTGGAAACAACAGCTGTCGTTTTCGGATATTATGTCAATTCAAGAAAGCTGTTCAGATGTTCTGACGAAACTGGACTACAGAATGTACAAAAAACAATCCGAAATAGTTTTCAGAGGCTTGGATGAATACAAGCATCTACGTAAAGCTAATTTCTGTTAAAAAAAAAAAAAAAGAATGCATGCCTATATATTCAAAACTCGAACACCACGTAGTTCACTTTCACAAAATAAAATTTGCACTTCTGCGAGCAAAAATGTGCAGGAGAAATGATTTTCTGCTTACGCATCTCTAGGAATAATGCCCAGCAAAAAAGTAAAGGTGCTACGATGTTTACTTAATGAAACAAAATTAAAATCAGGTTGTTGCTGGTTGTTACTTATATTATGCATCACGTTGATGCTCCAGGTTATTATTATCCAGTTTTATTGATACTTCATACAGTTTCAACTGAAAGCATTATTCGTTTTACGAGTAAACCTATTTGATATAGCGTTATAATACCTATTTCGGCTTTATAAGCCTAGATCTTACTACTTTTTAAAGTAATCAAAAAAGGCACAAATAAAGGTTTAGCGAAAACTGTCCCGTTTGTCTGAGAATGTAAAATTCAATATTTTCTGAATATGTAATAAATAATATTCAACAAAAATTATTGCAGTTTATTTTTTTTAATTTGCTGAAAACAAAAAAATCACCGGTTAATTTCAAGAAAAACAAACGTAACACCAAAACAACGTTTAACACATAACAGTAACCAAGCGCCGATCTACGACGTTTGCTAAAAGTGCATTTTGTGTGTATGGTTTATTATTTTTAAGACATTTTAAACATCTTATTTTTAGGTTTAGGATTAGATCAATTCATCATTTAAGTTATGTTTTCATTTGTTAAATGTTTTTATATACAATTATTACTTGTATTTATTTTTCTGTGATGTCAACTGTAGTGGGTAAACTAACTCACAGTCGGCAGAAAAATAATGTGATAGTAAAACAACTGGTGTTTTTGGCGGTTTAGGATATAAATACATTTTACTGTCGAATATTATGTCCAACCCTATTGTTCTGAGTGGGTATTAGTGTATATTGTAGTAGACGGTACAAATATTAAACCTAACTAAAAGAATTTTAGCTGACAAGCCTTAGTTCAAGTAAATTCTGCCCGTGATTATTTCATGATGTTGAAGAAAAGAGTCAAATTTATTAGGTTATAGATGGCGATACAGAACTGGAACAAGACTATCGAGATTCGGCTTGTGGAAGTAAAATTTGACGTAATGATAGAAATCGTGCTAACATATATTAATATATGATAATTATACGTATATAATTATATGTGGGTGATTTGTCACACGTATACCGATATTACATACTTGTTTATGAATGTTGTATTACATAGGTGAATCAAGTACACAGAAAACACAGCTGTCAGGCAACAAATAAATTGAAATTTCATAAGAATCTTAAAATGGCGATAGATGAAGTGAAACTGATTAATGACCTGTGAAAGATTATCAGAAGAGATAGCGTTTTCTATCTATTATCTATCTATGTTGGTAAAAGAATATTTCAAGTTTCGAAACAACTAAATGTTCTGTAAGTAGTGAAGTTTTTAATTAGAGATAATAGCAACGGGTAAACTCATACTACCCCCCCCCACCACCACCAAACCCCAAGTGGGTAAGCAGCAAGTCCTAGGGACCATTGTTAAAAATCTGGTTTCCTTGAGATGGGAATTGCACAAATAGCTCAATTGTGCAGCTTTTTGCTTAAAGAGAATAAAACTACATTAAATTTGATAAACGTGCTTTTACCGGGCGTTTTTAGTAGTGAATATTTTCGGTTAGGTTGAACAAAAATATTAATAACGGGTGAAATTATCTATAAAACTAAACTCACTGAAAGTAGCTTATTCATCACATCAAAAATATAATTTGGGCATCCATATTTTATCCAATTTTCCAATTATATAAACAATCTAGCAAATTGGAACATTTCCTAATACTCAGTTTTTCACTGGAAATTTCTAAATTTTTGTTAGAAGTTGCAATTAGGAGACACGTCAGTGTGGATTGGAAGGCAAGTATCCCACCCATGCAGCGTTTCTTTTTAAATGTTTCAAGTCGTACTTCGCCTCCATCAAGACGGAGTCGTGGAAATTAATGTGTTTGTGCTAATCATATGTCACGGTTAGAATTGAAAGACAGCTCTTACGCAATACTGACCCCAATTCAGCTGTAACCTGCGCTTAGTTTCATTTTCTATTGGACCCTATCTCAGTTTTCATAACTAGAAAATGATGGGAAGTTCAAATGTATGTGAAAAGTAACTGTGACAGTTGTAGTTATTTGGTAACAAGGTACTGTTACGCCTCCAGTCGTTTGTTACTTAATTTTCCGTAACTTCGTTCCGACGAAACTTTAGCCACACAAGTCCTTTCTTAAATAAAACTGGTTCACTCTTTCCGAATACAACTTTACGATACACTCAACTTCAACAATCGCGCTATAACAAACTATAATTCACGTATCACGAGCTCGACTTCTAACAATACGTTTCTCTCTGACTGCAGTTCAATT